GGGGGGGAGTCGGCCGGCGCTGGGCAGTCGGCCAGGGGGCGCCTGTGAGCCGCAGGGTAGGCCACCCGCTGCGCGCCGGCGTCTTACGGGCCCGGCGCCGGCCGCCTGCTACGGCCGCCGCCGCCCCGGCGGTGCCAGCGTGCGGTGCCAGCGTGCGGTGCCGGTGGTGTCTTTCTACGTGACCTCCCGGCGCGATGGCGGAATTTCTCGGGGAGGTTATCCGTCATCAATGAGCGCTGATAAAATAAAACTTTTTCTAATTAGGGCGTCAACATTGATTAGCCTTGTCTAGAAAGCGTTGTGGTAGGTTCAAAAAGGGAGTGAAGGGCAGTAACATCGAAGTGGAAGTTGACCGGCGTGCCTTGACTCACTCTGCTTTTGGTGCTTGCAGCTGCCATGCCGGAGCAGTACAGGAAGCGGCGCGGCGCCAAGCCCAAGGGGGTCGCTCAGCGGAACAGGGGGCTGCAGTGGCTGCGCGCCAACGCCTCCGTCGGCGTCTTCTACTTCGCCGACGACGACAACACGTACGACGTCGCCATCTTCGACGAGGTCAGGGCGAGTGCTGTGAAATAATAATTCATCGCCGTGCGAGAGAGAAAGAGAGCAATAAGAAAAGAGCAGAAAAATGAAATTATGCAATTCTGAGCTCGAGAGAGAAGTTAGAAACAGGCTATGGTTTTTCGCTTGTTCGCTCTCCAGATTCGGAGCACGAAGCGAGTCTCCATGTTCCCGGTGGGGCTGTGCACCAAGTTCGGCCTGTCCACCCCGGTCGTGTCCTCGACGGGGGCCTTCATGGGCTTCTACGACGGCTGGCTGGGAGGTCGCAAGTTCCCGGTCGACATGGCGGGCTTCGCCGTGAGCGTCAAATTCCTTCACATGGTACGTAAGGTTGACGTAGGCTGGCAAGGCTGAAATAATATTCCAGCCTGACGAGGTTATAGAGCCTTTTCTCCCAACCTAATTTCCCCAACGTGCCAACGTAAAGCGCCCCAGCGCCGAGTTTTATTTGAACGCTGGCCGGGACGCTACCCCTCCCCTTCTCCCCCACAGCTCTCACCTTGAAGACGC